ATTTTTGACCCCTCCACTCAAAGGCCCACCAATGCTGTCATTGGCATACCTGTCCACCCATTAAGATTCTATTTAACACTTTGTCTTTGGTGAGGCCTCTCCTCGGCTCACCTATATTGCAGGGCATGTAACCAGTTGTTGTCCATTCAATTCTAATTCATGGCAACCCCATGTGTGTCAGAATAGAACTGTGTCCATAGAGTTTTCTTTTCTTTTTTACTTTTTTTTTTTTCCAAAAAAACCCCAATATTTTATTGTGTTTTTGATGAAGGCATACACAGCAATTTAGGTTCCCATTCAACAATTTCTCCACAAATTATTCATTAACATTGGTTACATTCTTCACAATTAGTGATAGTCCCAATATTTCCATTCTGATTGTTCCATTTTCCAAAGGGTTTTCAACAGCTTGGTTTTTGGAAATAGACTTCCAGGCCTTTCTTCTGAAGCACTTCTGGGTGGACATGAACAGCCAACCTTTGGCTTTGTAGCCTCGTACATTAACCATTTGCACCACCCAGGGATTGCAGGGTACATGTTGGTGTTGTTATTGCCATCGAGTTGATTCCGACTCATGGCAACCCCATGTGTGCAGTGTAGAATTGCTGCATTGGGTTTCCAGGGCTGTGACGTTTCAGAAACTGATCACCAGGCCCTCTTCCCAAGGTGCCTCCAGGTGGGTTCAAACACACCAAGCACTAAAAGACATAGAAAGATGACAAAGACATAGGCCTACCATCCGTGTCTTCTCCATATTATCCAAAGTTCCATGACAACCTGGTCTGCTTCACACCTCAGGTGGGCAGCCAACCACATTAGCCATTCCCACTAATAAGAACTCCTGCTGGTTAGAGAGGAGCAGGCGTGTGGCTATTTTGCTAAGCTCTGCTGCCTCAAATAATCTCTTGCTATTTGTAACTGATGAAGGGCCAAAGACTGATTTACTGGCAGTTACATCATCACCCAAGGTGCCCAGTCTCTCAGACCTTTCTCTGCTCAGGAATGGGAAGCACCTCCAGGAAGGTGTCTGTGATGTTAGTATCCACATGTTTTGAGAGTGCTGGGTGCATAATCCCATGATAGAGTGGAGACATGCTACCATGTCACTGTCAGTTCCCCACCCCTGCCATGGCTGATGGCTCTCACTGCCCAAGTAAACCCCAGGCTCTACTCTCACCCACAGTGACCAATCTGAAATCACCAAATCCCAACCCCTGTTGTTATTTGTACTGTCTGCAAAGAACATGGGATCAGTGCAGCCAACTCTCAGCCCAATGCCTGCCATAAGACTGGGCATCAAAGCCTTCAGGTCATGTTCACCTACATCAGACAACAATGTCACACAACACTCTTTGTCCATTTACAAAGTGGGTGTAGGCTGCACTCTTCACCAATAAGTCTTGATTGATGTTCTCATTTTAACAATGGCTGCACACCCATATTTAGCACCTCCAGTCTGTCAGGTTGTCCCACCGTGGTGGCTTGCATGTTGCTGTGATGCTGGAAGCTAGGCCACCAGTACTTTGAAGACCAGCAGGGTTTCCTGTGGTGGACAGGTTTCAATGGAGCTTCTAGATTAAGACATATTAGGAAGAAAGGCCTGAAGATCTACTTCCAAAAATTAACCAGTGGAAACTTTATGGAACACAATAGAACACTGTCTGACTTGCTTGCTTTGGACACGCCATCAGGTGGGATCAATTGCTGGAGGAGGACATCGTGTTTGGTGAAGTGGAGGTCCGGCAAGGGTGATAGAGACCCTCAGTGAGATGGATTGACACAATGGCTGCAACAATGGACTTGAACATGTGACAAGTGTGAGGATGATGCAGGGCAGGCAATGTTTCATTCTGTTTTAACAGGGTTGCTGGAGTCAAAGTCGACATGACAGCAGCTATCCAACCCATTTTCAATGACAGCTACTACAACTCAAGAATCCTGGGAAGGCAAACAACTTTTTGTGGTGGGGACTGTCTGACATCTAGCAGGATGTTTAGCAACCTTGTCTCCTCCCGCTAAATGCCATTTGTCCTCCTTGGCACATATACAAGGAGCCCTGGTGGTGCAGTGGTTAAGGGCTCAGCTGCTAATCAAAAGGTTGGCAATTGGAACCCACAAGCTGTTCCATGAGAGAAAAATGTGGCAGTCTGCTTCCATAAGATGACAGCCTTGGAAGCCTTATGGGTCAGTTCTACTCTGTCCTATAGTGTCTTTATGTGTTAGAATCAACTCAGTAGCAGGGGATCTGGTTTTTGGTTTTGTCACTTATCCACCTACATTTCCAAACCTCCAAGGTAGGTGGTGGATGAGAATCACTGCATAGACCATCATTGCTTGTCCTTCTCTGGAGGATCATTGTATGATGTGTAAGCCCCTGGCAGCTGCCACATTCTGTCCACTGTCTCTTCCATGGTTGATTCCTGTGGTACCCCATCCTGTCTTGGGCCTCTTGAGTTATTTACTCTGAAGGAAGGCTGGTGACTGAGACTCTCTAAGAACATAGAGAACATTATATGGAGAAGAGCCACACGCAGGCTTTCATGTCTCCTTCACATGAGAATCATGCCTCTCTCTATTTCCAAAGCACATTTCTTGTGTCCACTGGAACATTTACGTCTACCTGATTATTTGTGTGTATATGTGTGTGTGTGTCATAGCCTCCTGTTTCCAAAAAAGAAACTCATAGGAGCAGGAATCTTGTTGTACCGTTTCACTGCAGCACCTAAAACAGGACTCTCCATAGAGTCAGTGCTCAACAAAGGTTGGGTGAGTGAATGAAAGGGTTGATGGATGAATGGATGAATATATACTTGTTGACATAATGAAATGAAGACATGGAATCTGTAAATGAGGAGCAATTTACATTTGAACTTAAAGTGAGAGGTGGTAAAAAGTTCAGCAACTGGAGCAACAGCATGTTCTTACCTAGAGCTGATTAAACTCGAGAATGCATCTGACTGTCACCACCAGAGGAGAGGTGACTAATGCGTGGGTGGTTGTCATGGGACCTCCAGTTCAAAGATTACGAGAACAAATACTACACAGTAAACTTTACTCCATTGCTCGTCAGTTTCTTAATTGGTTCTTTGGAATCTCCACTCCAAACCACTCTCCTATTATTTTGAAATGAAGACAGTTACAATGAAAGACTAGATGCCATCTTAGTAGTGGCTGACCCCCAAAGGCAGTTTTGAACAAGTCGCCTTTTCTGTTCCTTTTATTTAATAAACGCGTCAGGTCACTATAATGAAACCCAGCCCTGGCAAGGCAAACAATTTTATCAGGGTAAGTGAGACTACAGCAGTTTCTCAAAACAATGATCCAAACACAAATATCCTTGGAGAAAGTTGAAACAGTGAATTACTTTTTTATTGGCTACTAAATGTCCTAGCAGATTTCTGACAGAAGCATAGATAAAATGGAAACAAGGACCTTCTGGGGAGGTTTCTCCTCTTGTATTAACCTTGATGACAGCAATAAGGCATTGCTTATCAGCCAAAGTGCACCCAGCCATGCCCGCCAATGGGACACTAAGTGAGCAAGCTGTTCCCAAGGCAACAAAACAGATGCAAACAGGTCTCCTGGGCCCAGGGTTCTAGTGAATGCAGGTGAGATTGCTGGAGCTGTAATAACGTAACATTTCCAGGGCAAAGATAGCCAGGGTGACTCTCTGCTTTCCAGCAGGAGCCCCCACCCAATGCTCCATCTCACTGGACCCACCTAAGGACCACCGGTATCACTTTCTTCCAGTATCCACTTCATTCTCTCCTTTTACCATGTTTTATTCTTTCCTCCACAACCATTCCAAATAAAACCAAGACTAAACAACAACAACAATGTCCAAACAAGTGCACTAACACCAGTTGCCATCAAGTCGGTTCCAACTCAGTGCCCCCAAAGTGTGTCATAATCGAACGGTGCTCCATAAAGTTTTCAATGGTGATTTTCTGGAAAATAGAGTGCCAGGTCTTCTGAAATGACTCTGGGTGAGTTTGAACCGCCAACTTTTTGGTTCGTAGCCAAGTGCTTAACTGTTTGCACTCCCTGGGGCTCCTCAAGTGCATTAAACAGGCCCTTACTGGGGATGTCAGAGAGGGAGCAGGCATGGTGGCAATCTGTCTTCCTGGGAGAAATTCATTCAAACCCACATAGAGCTCTGTAGGACATTATCAAGGAAGGCCCTGAAGAATTTAAAGGTTTCATTTGCAGAGTCTGCTGAGAAACTGGGAGCTCTGGTAGCATAGTGCCGAAGGCACTTGACTGCTAACCAGAAGGCTGGTGGTTCGAACCCACCAGCCACTCCTCGGAAGGAAGATGGAACAATCTACTTCTGTAGTGATACTGCCTCGGAAACCCAAGGAGGGGTCACTATGAGTTGTCCCTACTCCAAGGCACATAACAACAACAAGCTGAGAAACTACTTTCTAGCTGCATAATAAATGGCTGGGTTTGAAGGAATGCAGCCAACTTAACAGCTACTGACAATACTATTTACAAAATAAGAGAGAAAAACCACCTTTGATGTGTTTTGTTGGAAGTGGGCCATTGTGATGTGTAGAAAGCTTTAGAAGACTTGTGAGAGCAGGTGGCAGAGGGGAGGCTAGGCAGGTGAACCACTAGGAGGCTGGAGGTGGGGAGGAGTGGGCCATCAGGAGTCTGCACTTTCTTCCATTATAGAATCTGACCTAGGATGAAAAGATAAATCCTCCTCTAAGCTGGAGTGTGTCTTGTTCAGCCTGCTTGGAAGGACCTGCGGCTTTGGGTCAGATTAATTTGGGGACTGCTCCCTCTCTTTCTCTACTCCAGAACCTATTCTCTCATGTGGCAAGGATGGGCAGACACCACCGTGAAGCCCACTTCTCCTCTCCCACAAGCAGCTTCCTTGTGTGACAAAATACAGATCTCAGATGACAGCGCGGCTTTAGCAGACAACTGAAGACCCTGTTACATTCAGAAGAACTACCCGAGCCCGAACAAAATAGACCTTTTTCTTTTCCCACCCACCACCCCCCAACAACAAAATATCATGTGTTTTTTCCAAAGTCATAGAAGGCACAAACAGGTAGCAAGAAGGCATTGGTGTGGCATCTCTGCCGAGAGCTCTTTGGCCCTGGTGACTGGCCTCCCCGCCGCCGTTCAGGTGATGACCGTGGGTCCCCTCCGGCCAGTCCTCTCGTGGATCTGCGATATCTTCAGCGCGATGGCTATGAGAGGGCTCAGCACTGCCTGGAGAAGAAGGAAGAGACAACTCCTGAGTTGTCTGTAGAAAAGTCAAGGAAGTCGCTGGAGAGGGTGCCGGGATGGGCTTCTGTCAACTTAAGAAAGTCATGGGAGAGGGCACTGGATGGATTTCTATGGCAAGCACCTGAATCCAAATTCTAGTTTGCTGCTGCAAAGTCATCAGAGCAGGTCATCTGCCTTTTCTGCACCTTTGCTTTCTCCTCCATAAAACAAGAGTAGAGGAGGAGGGTGGGGCAAGGAGGAGATGGTCGCAAGTCTCAGGCAGTTCCCAAATTCAGCTAAGATAGGAAGCTGCACAACCCATCTGCTGAGCATCACAGGAATGGTGCACTGTGAATTCAGAAGCTCAAAGAAACAGTCTCCCTCTGCTACATACTTAAACACGTACATGCATACACACACACACATGCATGTGTGCACACACACATATACACACACAAGCACACATACACAGCTTGAGGATAAAGCCCACTCTCCATCCTAAGACTGTGGGTCTGAAGAGCATGCAGGTGTGATGTTTTGGAGGAGACAGGCCAAGCCATTGGCTAATACCAAAGAAACAACTGGTCATTTCTTCCCATCACCTAACATCACAGCTCCTAAGGAACTTCAGCTTCCATAGGAGGAAGTAGGTTTATTGGGTTTTAGGGATTGAATTGGGCCCCGGCAAATTTGTTTTGGAATCCTAACCCCTGCACTTGTGGATAAGGAAGGAGCTCTGGTGGCACAGTTCCTAAGGCATTTGACTGCTAACCAGAAGGTTGGTGGTTCAAACCCACCAGCCACTCCGTGGAAGAAAGACTGGGCAATTGACTTCCGTAAAGATTTACTGCCTCGGAAACCCAATGGAGGTCACTGTGAGTCAGTATCCACTTATGGCAGTGGTTTTTGTTTGTTTGTTTAATAGCTGTGGATGAAATCTTGTCTGGAAATAAGTGTTCCTTTGTCATGTTAATGAGGCCCTTATCAGTGCAAGGTGTGACACAAGAGTTCTCTGAAGGCCACAGAGGCAGATGAATCTGCAGGCCCAGGAATGCCAAGGATGGCTGGCTGCTAGAAGTTGAAATAGACAAGGAAGGACCTCCCCCGGCAGCCACACGCTGAACTTGGATTTCCAGCCTCCTGGATTGTCTGTTCTTCAAAACTACCCACTGTGGTATCTGGGTTACATCAGCCCTAGGAAACTGACACTAAGAAACAGATTCTTGAAAACACAAAGGACAGGAGAAGTGAGAATTCTCTCTTACCCTTTAACTACTTCTCACTGAACAGGCGTAAAGCATTGTTTTCCCAAGTGTGGAAAACATACCACTCAGGAGGACTTTGCTGGCTGGCATAAGAGATGATTTTTGGTGGCACAGGGATGCAGTATTACTTATAAAATAGTGAGAAAATGAGTCCACTTTCCATTCCTCTTCCATCCTTCTGATTTCATCAAAAAAAAAAAAAAAAAAAAAACTCTGCTACCAATCTTTAACACTTTAACCAGGACAGCACATGCCTCAGGCAGGAGTTACCTAGCTAGAATATAATGTCACTGTTACCTTTTTATTAAAGGAATTTTTATGGTGAGCTTATATTTGTCAAGTAATACTGTTTTGTTTTTTCCAATTAGATCACTGATAAAAACTTTTCATAGTAAATACACAGACTTAAAGTGAGTTAATTAAAAGACAAACAAAATATGGTGATACTGATTTAAAAAAAAAAGTTTGGGAAATAACTGGGGTGAGGCAGGAAGAACCCTATAATTCAGAAAAACAAAATCCTTATTTTGGGGGAAAAACAAGTTTGGGAAATCCAGGGGTAAGGGAGGAAACAAGGATCCCATAATTCAGACATGTAAAACCCTTATTGTTTTGGGAGGGAGGGAGTCTCTGTTACCTGTAACACTCATCTGTTCCTAACAAGTACAGGGATGGAAGGGGGTATGTGTGCATTCTAAGTCAGACAACAAGAGCACAAGCAAATGCCCAGAGTACAAGAAAGCACAGGTAGTCAAGTGCATCCGAAGTAGAGTGGTGACAGAGGATAGTCCTAAGAGATACACTAGGCTTGTTTGCTGTGACCCAGATTCTACGGTGAAATCCAAGGATTCTATTCATTAGACGAAGGAGATACTATTTTATTTATTTATTTATTTTGAGCTGAGCTTTGGAAAGAATAGGTGCTCTGGTGGCGTAGTGCCTAAGGCATTTGACTGCTAACCAGAAGGCTGGCAGTTCAAATCCACCAGTCACTACTGGGAAGAAAGACTGGGCAATGTACTTTCATAGTGATATTGCCTTGGAAACCCAAGGAGGGGTTGCTATGAGTCGGATCCGACTTGATGGCAGTGAGTTTTTTGTTTTTGGAAAGAATAATATGGCAGCAAGTCCAGTAATCAATGCAATTAATGTTTTTTCTTTTTTTTTTTTTTTCCTTTTTCACTAAATGTGTTAAACCACTGGAAAACAGTGAGATGGGGAAGCTCAGATTGAATCTTAGAGTCTGGAAAAAACAAACTCATTGCCATTGAGTCAACTCCAACTCACAGAGACCTCCATTGGGTTTCCAAGGCTGTAAATCTTTATAGAAGCAGACTGCCTCATCTTTCTTCCACAGAGCAGCTGGTGGGTTCGAACCACTGACCTTTGGTTAACAGCCAAAGGCTATAACCACTGTACCACCGGAGCTCCTTTGGCATCTAGAAGGGGGATGAAAATCCAGAGCACTTTCACGTGTGCACAGTCAAGTGCTGCTCCTCCTAGCTTTTGTATCCATAAATTTGCTACATGAAACAGAGAAGTTTCTTTTCCTTTTAATGACCCAACTGGTACCCAGAAAAATTTCATAGTGGCCCATTTATCCCAAGAGACTTATCCACACGGTGCCTATATCATCCATTTTGTATAGAATTCAGATTATTAGTTAGTTTTCACTCCTTTTCCTATCTGTTTTTCACCTCCTCTTCTTTTATTTTTTTGGTTATATTATTACTCATTTATAAGGAGCTCTGGTAGCATAGTGACTAAGGCACTTGACTGCTAACCAGAAGGTTGGTGGGTTCAAACCCACCAGTCACTCCTTGGAAGGAAGGTTAGTGATACTGCCTTGGAAACCCAAGGAGAGGTCACTATGAGTCAGATCCGACTCGATGGCACATAATAACAAGAACAACAATAATTACTCACTAAAAAAAAAAAAAAAACACAACAACCCATTGTCATCAAATCCATTCTGACTCACAGCAACCCTATCAGACTGAGTAGAACTGTCCCATAGGGTTTCCAAGGCTAAAATCTGTATGGCAGCAGACTGCCACATCTTTCTCTTGTATAGAGCAGCTGGTGGGTTCAAATCACCAACTTTTCACTTAGCAACCAAGCACTTAACCACTGTGCCACCACTGTTGCTCCTTGGCAACAGACAGGAGAGGTGTAAATGGTCCAAATGTCACAAGACTTAAAAGTAAATAGTTAACAGATTTCTTGGAGAAAAACAAAACTCTAACAAGAAACACAATCATTTATTAAGCAAGATTTGTCCAAACTTACAGAGGAAACCCAGTAGTGGGCCAGTTTTTCTGAGGGGTGAAAGCGGAAGATGGGGTGGGAGTGGTAGCTGGAGGAGTGGGAGGGTGGGGGTGATAGTACTTATCATAGCTCATGTTTGGCTGCTAACCAAAACATGGGTGGTTCAAACCTGACAGCCATTCCAAGGAAGAAAGATGAGGGAGACTGCTTCCATAAAGATTTACAACCTTGGAAACCCTATGGAACAGTTCTACCTTGTCCTCTAGGGGCGCTATGAGTCAGAATCGACTTAATGGCAGTGGGTTTGCTTTTTTGTTGTTGTTGTTGTTAACATCCCACAGAATTCAGATCATCCATCATCAGAAAACACTGGCACTGAGGCTTGCATAAACTAGGGATTCATAATGCCACTTTCTCCTGACTCTTAGAGACAATTAACATCACCGGTAACCTGTGGTTAATGCCTACTGAACATGGAATGCCTTGGGGGGGGGTACCTCATGTGGGCAGAATAGAGCTGTGCTCCCAGGTTTTTGATGCTGTGACTTCTGGAAGCAAATCACCAGCTCTGTCTCCCTAGGCACCTCTGGGTGAGTTTGAACCCACAACTATTCCTTTGGCAGCTGAGTGCTTAATCACTGCACCACCAGGTCTCCTTTAGTCTAAGGCAACTAAAAACCAAACTTACTCCCATCGAGTTGGTTCCAACTCATAGCAACCCCTCCTTAGGTTTCCAAGGTGGTATCTCTGTGGAAATAAATTGCCCAGTCTTCCTTCCAAGGAGTGGCTGATGAGTTCGAACTGCCAGTCTTCTGGTTAGCAGTCAAATGCCTTAGGCACCATGCCACCAGAGCTCCCTAGTCTAAGGCAGTGGTTCTCAAACTGTAGAATCATCTGAAGGGCAAGTTAAAATGGGTGGCTGGATCCTGCCCTCAGCATTTCCAATTTAGTAAGTTTAGGATGGGACCTGAGAATCCGCATTTCTAACAAGTGCCCGGTGATACTGATGCTGCTAGACGGGGACCACACTTTGAGAACCACTGCTCTAAGGGAGAGGAGCCTTGGTGGTCCAAAGGTTACAGCACAAAGTGGCTAACTGAAATGTTGGTGGTTCAAACCCCCTATCTGCTCCATAGGAGAAAGATGTGGCAGTCTGCTTCTGCAAAGATTTACAGCCTTGGAAATCCTATGGGGTAGATCTATTCTATCCTATAGGGTCTTTTATGAGTCAGAATCGGCTCCTCAGCCATGATGGGAAGGCTCTAAGGCATGCCCATGACCTTGCCTGCCAAGTCCCTGGTTCCTTCTAAAGTCCCTGGTTCCAATGATTGGACCAGGAGTGGACCCTGACTGACCAGCAACCTATTATGTTGCCTGGGGCAAACATCTGAGCCAGCCAATCAGTTTCTCGAAAAGGGAAAATAATGAAAGAATGAGGCAGTTAGTCACAAACAACTCAAACCTGTTGCT